TCCGAAGATTTGCAGTTCAAGAGTCAGGAGTGACTTGTCAGCTACCTTCTACCTTGAGCCAGGAGATGGAACCTCGCTGGTCATTTGGCAGAGGCCGCGCGAAGCGAAAGAGATTCCCCTCTCCCCCCCCCCCCAAACCCGAAGTCTGCACTTGAATTCCCAAAGTGCAGAAATTCCGAAGCCTGATACATACCCGGAAGCCCTACATCCAGTTGATCCGCAAACGCAGAAGTCACAGACCTCCGTTTCGTGGATCGTTTTTTTTGCACCATGTTGCAAAATTCTCGAAGTTCGCGGATCAGAGAGAGGCGACGAGCATTGGAGTCAGGGTTGGGGGAAAGAAGGCCGGGACCCTTAGCAACTCCCCAGTCACGACGGAGGCATCACGCCCGACGCTGTGGGTGTTGGGTTGAATTACGTTGAGGTCACAGCCCGCTGCTCAGGCTACGAACGTTTAGGGTTCAGGGTCTGAGCCCGAGAAGGAGTTGGAAGAGTATGGTGGTCTAAAAATATTCATAGAATTCGTTCTCAGTATCATGAAATGTAAAAGAAGAAAAATAAATATGAACAAACATTTCTAAACACGTAAAGAAATGCGAATACATAGAACCACAATATGCGCATGTCAAGCATGAATACAATGTATACATATATCACTGGGCCCCCCCCTCCCCGCCCCCATGTACCTACAATCTTTCCTCTTGATTTGCTTTGCCTGGTGAGGTTACTCGGTTGCAGATAGAAACAACTGCGATACGGGTACGAACGATCAAGGACAGCTACTGGGAGCCCCGCGAACAAGGTGAAGGACAGCTACTGGAACAGTTGAAAATTATCAGTTCTTGCCGATGTTTTTCGAGCTCGGTCTTACTCCGACGAAAACCTTGGTAAAACTCAGAAAATCCTGACATCTAGGAAATGACATGGTTTTATTGGTTTTACGAATGTTTCTAAGCTCTGGCCTACGCAAACATCGGTAAACCCAATAAACTCCAACAAGTCCATGATTTTCAAAACATGTGGTTGGAGAGAGTTTCCGATCACGAGATTCATGCATTATTGGTCGTACCAATGTTTTTCGAGCTCCACGAAGTTTTCCCAATGTTTTTCGAGCTCCATCCTACGCTAACATGGTTCAAACCAATAGAATCCATGAACTTCAAGAAAATCATGGAATTTTAATGGGTTTACCAATGTTTTCGTATGATCGAGCTCGAAAACATTGGTAACACCAATAATGCATGAACTTCGTGATCTTAGACTCTCTCCCAACCACACGTTTTGAAAACCATGGATGTTTTTTTTTTTTGATTTCGACTATTTCTGCCAATGTTTGCGTAGGCTGAAGCTCAAAAACATTGGCAACAACCAGTATAATCCATGGTTTAGGTTGGGGCTCAGGCTTTAGGACTTTGGCTTTGGGGTCCTAGGCTTTAAGACTTCAGCTTTGAGGTTTCGTGTCTAAGACTTTAGCTTTGGGGTTCAGGCTTTGAGAGTTTAGCTTGGGTTTATTTTTGCCTCTTCGACTTTAGCTTTGGGCATAGGCATGCCCCAGAGGCAGCTTCGGGGGGGGGGGGGTCCGGGGGGGCGGGGTCGTGTTGTTTGACGTGCAGCACACACACACTTCACGCACTATTAGGTGTGTGATTTGCTTCTTCGCGTGTTGCGAAGTTGTAAGGATTCTGGGGCCGGGCACTGAAAAAAACCAAGAATCCATGACCCCCAAAGTAGTTTTCCAGAAGGGCTCTGGTACATAGTTTAAGCAACCAACGTGTGAAACACCGAGAGGGTGCTGACTTTTGGACTTAGCAGAATGGTAGTAGTAGTAGTAGTAGTAGTAGTAGTAGTAGTAGTAGTAGTAGTAGTAGTAGTAGTAGTAGTAGTAGTAGTAGTAGTAGTAGTCGTAGTCGTAGTCGTAGTCGTCGTCGTAGTCGTCGTCGTAGTCGTCGTCGTAGTCGTCGTCGTATAGTAGTAGTAGTAGTAGTAGTAGTAGTAGTAGTAGTAGTAGTAGTAGTAGTAGTAGTAGTAGTAGTAGTAGTAGTAGTAGTAGTAGTAGTAGTAGTAGTAGTAGTAGTAGTAGTAGTAGTAGTAGTAGTAGTAGTAGTAGTAGTAGTAGTAGTAGTAGTAGTAGTAGTAGTAGTAGTAGTAGTAGTAGTAGTAGTAGTAGTAGTAGTAGTAGTAGTAGTAGTAGTAGGTGACACGCTCTTAACTGATCATGGTGTTTTCTGCTGTTTTTTGACTTTTTCTATCGTTTTCTCTGGTTTTTTCTGCGTTTGACGGGTTGGGGGGGGTGGGGGGGGTGGGTGGGGGGGGGGTAATTACGTGCTGTGCTTTGTGCACACATGACCATGCTGAGGGGTTGGGGGGGGGGGGTGGGGGGGTAATTACGTGCTGTGCTTTGTGCACACATGGGGGTCGTGCTGGGCTTTGTGCACGCTTGACCACGCTGTCTACTGTTTTCCTCTGTTTTTTGGTTGGTTTAGGGGCAAGATCTTTTGGGCTCACAGTGGAGGGTTTAGGGTTTGGGGCTTGAGGGTAGAGACCTTTTGAGGTTTTTTGGGATTTGGGGTTTAGGGTTTAAGCTTCGGGTTTTTGTTTCCCGTGTGTTTTCCCACGAGTGAATCATGCACCGTAATTTGCCATACGCCTAAACAAGCCTTGCACAGCTGGAGCATCTCCGGCTCTCAGCTGGCCTTGACCTAACCCCTAGGTGGGGCCTTCTGCTTTTCGGTCAAGGCCTTCTACGCTCTTAGTCCTTTCTAGAGCCTCCAGGCCTCGTAATCCTGGTGTTTTTGTAGCTTGCACGTCCAGCCATGGCCTACCGTGCGAGCATGCCCATCCGCACAGAAGTTCGCAGCTCTTCAGATAGCGGACGCCACGACTACGTCCTCGAGTGGGACGATTTGGTCTACTTGCACTTGAACAGACTGGCCCTGTTTGCACAACCTGCCCAAGATGACTACGCCGCGCCTTGCCCTGGCTACGAGCCAGGCCCTGAGGATACCACCCCGCCGGTTCGCTTCAGGACACGCACTGCGCCCACTTCTGCACAGACCAGCACGCCTGGACCAGCGATGCACACTCCTCTTGGAGCCTCTGATTTGCCTACTACAATGGATGCACATATGGGCCCTACTGAGCCCCATCCTGGAGCTACGAGATCTACTCCTCTTGGAGCTTTCAGCTCAGCTTCTGCAAGTGATGCACCTATGGGTCCCGCTGGGCCCCCCTTTGAAGCTAAGCGTGACACTCCTCTTGGAGCCTCCGACATGCCTTCTACAGCCAATGACTTCATGCCTTCAAAGCCCAACGAGCCTCACGACCTAGTGCACATAAGGTCTCTGCTCGTATATATGCACAATCACCTGGCCTGCCAAGACGCAATGGGCCGCACTCTGATGCAGGCAGAGGAATCCAGACGCCTGGAGCTGCACGCAGTCTCTGCCCAACTGCAGGAAATACGCACCAGCCTGACCTTCGCCCAGCAGGCCTACGCCGACCTCAGGCATGAGCTCGACAGCATCGCAATCGCATTCGCACAGAAGCAGAGATGTCAAGCCTTAGGGAAGCCTTGGGGCCCATGCCCTCCCAAATCAATACCCTCAAGCGTATTGCAATACTGCCTTACAATGCACATCTTCAGGCCCTGCGTACCTTTCAGGTCCCGGCGAACAGGTGGGAAGAGGCAAATCCCCATGCCCTGTTGCGTAGAGAGCTTCTACACCTAGAGGATCGCCTTCTTCGCCTAGAAGCTGCACAGCCCCCCGTGTGGTTCTGATACTTCTCGCAGTTATCGGCTCTTAGCATTTTCACAGGACCCCCTTGACTAGCCTTGTCGAGCCACGCCGTGCCCATGCCCCCTCAGCCTAAAAGCCCAGCCTTCCAACCCTGCCCCTGGAATGTCCAGGATTGGAGTGGCACCGAGGACAGCAGCGACACATGCCCAGACGCCTCAGCGTCCTCAGCGCAAGAGCCCTTCACACACAGCTTCGCTCTTGCACAGGTCAGGCTGCCTCACCAGGTCAGACTGCCTACAACAGCACCAACGCTGCCACAGCCAAAAATAGCCCTAACCCGCCTGCCGACCCTAACACGCCCATACCCTGGCCTAAGCCTAAGCCTCCGCCGCCACAGCACCTGCTGTCCAATGCTGGCTCCATATACTGCCCCCGCTGCCTGCTGGCCCCAGATCGGCACAGCACCAATTCTCCGCCTTGCCCATGCAGAGCTTCTGCTCCCGCTATCAAAACCGCACATGCCGCCGACAGTGTGCCTTGCATATGTCAGCACTGCAACGCGCCCATGCCCACGTGTTCGCTCTACATGGTCTACCCGCGCAGGCGCTCATGCCCATAGTTGTACAGGCCAGACACCTCTTTGGCCTCAGCAACATACTGGCCTGCCTCTGGGCCCACATTAGCCCACAAGACCGCCGCTCATTCCACGTCATTGACTGGTGGTCTGCCGCCGACGCCCGCTGGTATTTGGCAGGCCTGCCAATGCCTGACTCGGATGATTACTCCGACCATGGCCTTTCATCGGGCACAAGCGCCGCTGCCTCAGTGGGTGCCTAGCCCATGCCGGTGCCTCGCGTGAGCACCTTTCTGCCTATCCTTTTGCACGTGCCTACCGGGACTCACGTCGCCATGCCGCACCCGACTCACGCCAATGCTCTGTGAGCCGCACGCTGCCTTGCCTAGTGCCCCCCCATGTACTGGTTGTCCTTGGACCCGCCCATCCTACCCCTTGCCTGCAGGTACCTACGCCTTCGAGCTCGGCATCGACTTCATGTACATCAAGGTTGCCAGTTGCCACCTTATTCTGCCTACTTGTTGCACACCGCCCTGAGAGTTGCTGACCAGTTGGTGTTCACATTTCTTCACTGTCAGGCCAATACGCACTTTCTGCCTGCCTCTCTCGCACGACTTCAAGGCCGGCTGTGCTCTTGCAGTCGTTCGTGAGTGTTGTTGCCGCACATGCCTTGTCCTCTGCACGCGGACATGCCTGCCCATGCAATTTCTGGAGCCATACCTTGCTGCTTTCAGCGCCGCTTTCACAGCTTCAAGCCTCCCCAGATTCCGTGTTTGCCCATTCTCTCGCCCAGAATGGACACTGCCGACATTCAGGGAAAGCTGCTGGCCTACTTCAACCAGCTCAGCCCCGAAGCCCGCGACCGCCTCCTTGCCAGTGCCCCTGCCCAGGAGGTACAGCCTCAACCCGCCTCGGGTGCAGGCAATGCCCAGCCGGGACAGACACTGCCCACCAAGGCCCCGCCACCGGTGGTCACTGGCCAAGCCCAAGCCCAATCGCCTGAATCGGACTCGACGCCCCATCCAGCCCCGGATGCCTCAGCCTCGTCTTTGCTCGCAGACGAGCTAGCCGATGAAGAAGTCAGCCTCCACCCGCCGCGGGCAAAAGGTGAAAGCCCCCAGCCCAAAGCCTATCCTGGTCGCCCGACCAGATCCGCCGAGCCCATGGGGATGGCCGCGTCATTCCCAGCCTAGTTTTCAAGAAGGATGGAGTCAAAGTGCCTGAGGCGCTCGTGAAGCACATCGCCAACACGCTCCCCTCGACAGAGGCCGAGACAAGCCCATCTGCCCAGCCTGGCCCACTGCCCTCGGTCTCCGAGACCCGCCCAGCCTGGGCCGACATCCAAGAGGATGAGGCCCTCAACAAGCCCTTGCCCATTAGCTCCAGCGACGAGGACAGCCCTGTGATCGAGGAGGTCATGGGTTTCGGGGGTGTGCCTATTGCCATGCCCAAGATTGTCAGCCCATGGCCACCCAAGCAGCCCAAAGCACCTGCGCCCGCAGAATCACAGGTGCCGCCCGCCCCTCCTGCCAAGAGTACCCCGCCCAGCCCGGGGCAGAGCTCGCCCTCCGAGCCCACCAGCAAGGCTGCGCCGGAGCCAGAAGCCTGCCCATCTGCCTCGCCGACCAAGCCCAACCTTCGCATGACCATGGTCTACGAAGGCAGGACCTGGCACAACTTTTGGGGGCAGGACCCGCCGGCCAACGCCATCTCGGTGGACTGGGATTCCTTCTGATTCACTCTCGAGGAAGAGCCCACGGCAGCCCAGCCCAAAGGTCCTCCTTCCTGCCCACCGCCTGCACACCCGCCTCAGCAGGCCCAAGAAGCCCAGCAGCCGCCGGGGACCAAGGCCCCGCCGCCGCCTATGCCGCAAGAGCCAGAACCAGCCCACAAAAAGATCAAATGCTCCGTCTTCGGAGCGGATGGCTGGATCCTCAGGAAGGACCAGAGGGGTCGGGTGCACATCACAGAAGCCGACTACGCCAGCCTAGTTGCCCATGCCGACCAGGGAGACCCCCGAGCCCAGGAAGTGCGCTCCTTGGGGTTCAACATTTGGGCCCCGCAATTTGTTGCGGGCCCAGTGGTGCCTTTCTCCATTATCAGCCCACCGCCTACACAGACGCAGTCGGCCCCCGCCCAGGAAGCCAACACCTCGCCCCCCACTGCCCAAGAGCAGACGGACTCGCAGCACGCCCAGACCCAGGATGACTTCACGGACCTACTCGGCCTAGGGCAAGACTCCTCGGATCGAGGCCTCCGCAACCCCTTCCCGAACCCACAGCGCACAGGAGGGGATTTCCGGCCCAAGGCAACCAGTGCCAGGTCCATGCCCTGCCCACACTTGCTGATTACGCCCAACGCCGATAGACGCTACCGAGGCACCCTCATCATGCCCAGTGTGTGCCTACCAGATACTTTCAATCTGGCGCCTCTACGTGGACCATCGAGACCGCCTACGATGCATGCGCCCATGCTCAACACGCCCACACTGCCCCTTTGGCCTCGTGTGTGCACAGATTATGTCGGACACCGACAGTGAGCATTTGGATCACCTGTGCAGCCGCTGCGTGGAGTTCCGCAGAGCCCACGAAGACCCATGGGGCTGGTTCCACGCCTACGCGCCCTAAAGCCTTGGCAACACGCCAGCATTTTCCCTAATGGCATCGCCTATGCCTTGCCGCCCAGCGTGCCCAAACCTGGCAGCCCTAGCCCATTCTCGACCCAAGAATTGGGCCTTGTTTTGCATCCGCCGCCGGCCCGAATAGGGAAAAAAGGAGGGTGTGCCAATTTCAGAACCATGTTCACACATGCGACCAGTTGGCCTTATTTAGCTCCCATGCTTACCTGATGCAGGTGCCCACCATCGAGCCCTTCGAGATGCAGCCGAAGCCCTGTCTCTTCACACTCCGAGAAAAGCCTCCTGCCCGTTTCTCTGCAGGTGCCTAGTTCAGCTTCCTTCGCAGGATTGCCGCTTTCAGTAACGCCTCCACATGCAAGGAGCGCCTATCATCAGCATTCTGTGAGCCACCCTCTCTGCAGCAATTTTACTCAAGCCGCCAGGAACATGTTTCCGGGCCACAAGCCACGTGTTGACTGGAGCCCAACTCCCAGTCGAAAGAAGCCCATAGTGGGTATTTAAGCCCTAACCCGCCCTCCCCAGCCTCCCTGCCGGGACTTTCGATCGATCTCCTTTCCGAGATCGAGCCCGACCTCGACCCGATCGAGGACTGGGACCCACAACAAGCTCCCTCGAGCACTGGACCCGATCCCATCGAGGACTGGTCCCCAGAAAATGAGGCTTCATCGCACGCTTGCCCCCCGCAGCAAGCCAGCACGCCTGGGCCGGCCTCCGACTCCTCTCCCTCCTGGGAGGTGCTCGGGGCGGAATCGGTCATTCCGGGTTTTCAGCCCTGCACAAGGGCCGCCATCTCAGTCGCAAACTTGTCCCAGCATCTGCCCAAGCCGGTCCTAAAATGCGTGGAAGACGCCCGGTGCAAGCACCGCATAGCACAGCCTCCCTACTCCTGCCCCTGTCCGCCTGGCCCCAGCCACTGTGCAAGTCCCCACGCTCGGGGCCCGTTCCGAAACACACTGTTCGCACGCTTGGAGGCCCAGCCCCTCCGGCATGCCCCAAGAAATTTCAGACATGCTGGCATGCCACGGCTCCGCTGCCCAAGCCCCCCCCTAAGCCTGCTCCCGCTAGTGCCTACCTGAATAAGCCTAAGCCTCTACCGGCTCAGCCACCGACAACGCCTAACCCCGCCAGCTCCCCTGCGCCGGAAATCGAAGCACCATCGAAGCGCCAAGAGCCAATCGTTCACCAACAACGTTTGGGGCCACCTCGCCTTCAAACGATGCTTGCCAAGGAAGATGCTCGCAAACTAGAGTGCAACCGAATTTGGCTGCTCCTCCTGGACAAGCTGAGGGACACCAGCTCCCTCTGGACTGAGACGACCCATTCTCTCACGCCTGAGAGACTTCGGGTCCGAGCCATCTCAGCCTACGCCGCCTCCAGCCTCGAGGCCTACCTGTCCAGATGCACCAGATTCTTAGACTTTCTGCAGGCACACAACATAGCCTTTTCAACGCTATCCCTGGTGGAGCTCGCCGACTACCTCGAGGCCGCCTTCGCCTCCCTTGCCCAAGACAGGGACGTGTGCCAAATCTCGCCCAAGACAACCATCAAAGCCCTGTCTTGGTTATCGCGCATGGCTCAGGTGCATCACCTGCTGGAGCTACTCAGCAATCCACTCATTTCAGCCTACAGAATCGACTCTAAGCCAGAGATCGCAAAGAAGCCCTGCCCATTCCCATGGCATGCATCGTGGCATGGGAACGCCTCGTTTGCAAATCGTCCACCGGTACCCAAATGGTCCTACTGCTCGGAGCCTTCCTTTTGGCCTACCACGCATGCCTACGATTCGGCGACCTACAACGCATTCGCCTAAGCAGCCTCAGCTTGACAATGCAGGCCCTCCGTGGAATTTGTTGGACGACCAAAACCTCCAGGTCGGGACAACCCTTCGCAGTAACCCTGACCGGCATATCAGGAAGAGGGCCTTCGACCTCGTGGTGCCTAGCCTACCTCACACGCCTACACGCCTCTTGGCTCGCAACGGAACGTTTCTGGGGCTCTCCATCCCAACCGGATTTCATGCTGCCCATCCTGCCAAATTGGGCCAACCCATCTCAAGCCGGGGTTGCATTCCAATCGCCCATGTCCTACACCCAGGCTTTGCCAGCACTGCGCTCTGCGCTGCAGCTCCACGAAGAAGCCTCGCCAGACGCCCTCGACGCCCAGGAAGCACTCAACTTCACCCTACACGGCCTCAAAGTGGGGCTCCTTAGCCCAGCCAAGCAACTCAGGCTGCCTGCCGACCCGCGCCGGAAGGCGGGCCACCACAAGGTCAGCTCCGAGTTGTACGGGAGGGACGACACAATCGACAGCCTATGGGTACAGGCCTCGGTGGCCCACAATGTTTCCACAGGCTGGAGGCCCACTCGCCCAATAGCCCGCGGGGGACAAGCCCCCACCATTGAGCCCAGCTTTCGGGTGCCGCCGGGCCCTGTGCCTAAATCGATGACAATCAGTCACATGCTGCCCATCATTCCCAGATTCATGTACGCACGTGAGTTTGAGACCCAGGCCGCCATCGATGACGACGCCAACGAGCCCTCCTCGCCCTCACCCTCCAGGTCCAGCGGGGAACAATCAGCCTCAAAAGATGCCTCCGATGAGTCCACCCTGGACCAAGATTCATAATTTTCCAGTGAGGAAGACAGCCCACACAAAGCCCCACAGACTCGCCACCCCAAAGCCCCCCTGGACCCGGCCACGGCAATCGTCGCCAATGGACACTGGGGGGCGGTACATCTGGCCCATCCGATCTCAGGCACTCACTGGCGCACCGCCTGTGGGATAGTCATGGGGGACGCCGGGGTCATAATGCCTGAGCCTGACCCAGCCAGGATGTGCCGCCACAAAGCCTGCCGCCTTGCCCTGGACGCCTTCCAGAGCCTGCCTTCAGAGTAAAATAGGAACGGCCCGCAGTGCATCCATGTTGAGCCAACCCCCTTCCCCCCCAAACCCTCCTGCCTGCCCGCCCAGGTGCACGCCTACACCGCAGCCGTTGAGACTCTCTCGAGATCACCGCGTACCCCCGCTCCTCTTTCTTCCACGCCATGGACTGCCCAGACGCCTTCCGAGACTTGCTCAAGGAGTGTCGGGTACACGCCTCGCTGTGCAGCGCCATCTCGGATGGCGGGTACCAGTCCATGTCGGACTTCGCCTGTGCCTTCCCGTGTGTGGAAGCCCTCAATCCCTTCATACACGCCCTGCCTGAGGCAGTCACACAAGAACTCGGCCCAGGAAGCCTAGACTCCTCTGTGGAGATCGCCCGCCTACGACGCGCCCTGGACAACTGCCACAAGCTGGTCCAGCGGGGGGACGCCCAAGTGCCCACGCCAAGCACAACCCAACTGCCTACGCCCATCATGCCTTCGCAGCCTTCACAGTGGATGGAGCACCTGCCACCACGCCTAACTCAAGACATAGTCCAGGATATGGTGGACAAATTCAAGGCAAATTACCCAGGCGAACTGCTAGATCAAGACAGTATGCCCAGCATCCGCCTACTCAGCCTTGTGCACCACAGCCTAAAGCCCGGGGAGAAGATCCGTTGGATCCCTTGGCAATTTCGCCTATCCGCCCGCCAATACCAGGAGCACATGGAAGCCAAGACTGCCAAGCCCTTACGCACAGAAGCCCAAATCATTGCCTCTGCCTTTTTTGATGAAACCCCAGAAGTGCCCGTAGAGCATATGCGCCTGGCGGCAGCCTGGTTAGACAGGATCCAAACTGTCTTCCGCAACGCCTGGGCCCTCTGTGGGGCCGCACACCTGCACAACCTGAAGGCCCTTGACAAAAAGGTCAAGGAGCTTTGCCTGCACCAGCCGGATGCACAGCTAGGCCTAAGAACGCCCACAACGGCCGAGCTCATCTCTGCCGACAGGAAAATATGGGCCTCGCTGTCGGAACTGGTCGCACAATCATGGAGCCTTGATGACGCCCTACATGAGATCACCTCCATCAGGAATGATCTCTCTAGCCTACTGCAGCTACGCCCAAAAATGCAGCCCGACAAAGGTCAGCCCAAGGGCCAAGGCAAGAACGCCGACAGTCCCAACAAGCGCAAATCGCCCAACACGCCCCCCCCGCCTCCCAAGGTAGACAAGGGAGCAGAGAGACCGCCTAAGAAGGGGAAGGGGAAAGGGAAGATCACAAATCTTCCGTCCAACTGGGTTGCCGTGCACAAGGGACAGCCCATTTGCCGCCGCTATCAAAACGGCCAATGCCAACTCAAGGAGTGCAAGTTCGCCCACGTGTGTGCAGTTCGAGGGTGTGCCCAAAAGCACCCCGCCAACGAGCACGGCAAGCCCAGGACCTGAAACAGTCCGGGCCTCGCACCCCCAGTGGCGGGCCCGGACCGTCCCCGACAACTGGGACCACCACTCCCCATGCCGGACCCGCAGCTCCCGCCCACGTCGGATCCCAGCCCCCAGCTGCCTCAGACCAAGGACCAATCGCCTGCCAAGCCTGCAGCCGACATATCCCTGAGGCCACACAGCATGCCGCCTACCCAGCACACAGCTCTCGCAGTGCCCGACAGCCTCCGCACGACAGAGGCCAGACCTCGCACAGCCTTCTTTCCGAACATCACCTGGAAACGTCCTGCAGATACCTCGCAAACCGCGGGCAGCAGACCTCACGACAATCCGCCCACACAGGCTCGCAAGTTACTGGACCTATTCGCAGGAAAATCCACGCCCATCTCAGCCGCCGCCAGCCTGCAATCCATACCGCGCTGGGAGCCCATCGACATTGCGATAAATGCCCAACATGACATCCTGCAGGATGCTTTCTTTCACCGCCTACTGCAACTCGCCTGGTCGGGTTCTATCGGCCTCCTGGTGGCCGCACCTCCGTGTCGCGACTACTCGATCCTCAAACTGGCGCCCGGGGGCCCACCCCCTTG